TGGGTTGCAGCCTTTCCTCAGCATCACTTGCCTTGCAGCCATATGGTGACTTACACCTTAAAAACGACATCTCTGCTGAGCTGTGTGGCTCTCTCTCATTAACCTCCCAGTTTTAGAACTGCACGTGCTAAGATTCTGCTAGCCTTCTCCATATTCATGAGGAATGCTTTGAACCTTAGCATAGGATTGGCCACATAAGTGCTTAGTGTCAGAGTTTGTATTTAACCTCTTTCTTCTACAGACTCATTTTTTCCTGCCATGTGTTCTTACAGAATTTTAAACTGTTTTCTGGTCTCCCATTCATTCCCTCTACAGACATCTGTGATCACAGAGAAAATAAGTAGACAACTTCTCCCTGGTATATGATGGAGTCCTCAGATCTCCCAGGGATCAATAGTTAGTCACACTTTTCTTTTCCATTTGCTTTCTTTTTCTTACCATTTAATAACAGAGGTTGTGTTGGGCAATTAAATATTCAGATAAAGTAACAAATCCTAAGTATGAAACCTTCTATTCTGCTATTTAAACAGAATTATCAAAGCAATTAGAATCCACACGAGAGAAACAAATGTGGTAGAAACCCAACTGGGGAAGTGCTTTGGGAGGGTGGCTGGGAGAGTCTGGGTAAATAAAAGTTCTCACCTGTGAGGAATCTGCAAGTTCTCTTTGAGATTGGCACATGCAATTCAAGAGAAGAACGCTATTGATCTTAGGTTTCCCTGAGAGGACAATCCAGGGAAACTCCTCATTATCCTGAATCCCATCATTTAGAGTCCCTTGCCAATACATTAAACCTCACCCTTTGGCTCAGTGACTGAAGGGGAGAAGGAGAGAGAAGGAAACAGACAGAGAAGCAGAAGGAGAAAAAGGTGGAGTAGGAGATGAGGGAAGGAACAGAAAGAGAAGAATGAAGACCACCATGAAGAAGGAAGGATAAAGGGGAGGAGCAATGGAGCAGGGAAGAGGTGGAGGTGGAGGGACAAAAGAAAGAAGAGAAAAAGAGAAGGAGAAATAGCTCCTCAACAAAATAATTCATATGAACTAGAAATCAAACACAGGTAAAAATTGAGGTAGTGAGAAGTGAATATGATCAAAGTATATAACATACATGAGTAGAAATTACAAAATAAAACCAGCTGTTCTGTACAATTAATGCATAATAAATAACCCCCTGAAAAGCTATTTTCCAGTGATGCAGACATGAGAACATGTCACACAGGTTATAAAAAAGAGAACTGACCTACTGAGAGTCCGGGCTTCCTCTCCACTCAGCTCGGCAACTCCTGCTCCAGATGAATGTGGAGGCTACTTTAATAAGGTGACGATTCTAACAAGGGGGTAGCGACCAATAGGAAACAGCCACTCCCATGGACTCCCCCAGAGTTCAAGATTCCAGAGTTTCATAACAGGCTAAAATGGGACATATTAGGGGGAGGCTCACAGGCCATCACCCTTTCCTGAAGACCTAGGGTCCTTTAATGGATTCCTTGGTTTAATGCTTATGTGTCTAAATAACGTGTCATCTATGCTATTGTGAACAACCCTAATGAAATACATTGGTCAAGAAAAGAAGAAACAAAGGAAGCAGACCGCACTAGAAGCATAAATGGAATCACAGAGTCAACCCACAGAACCCTCAACTCTAACAATAAAATGTGACTTTACACTAGTGACTTTTGGGGATAGTGTGTTAAGTACCCTTATTTCAGAATTAAGACATTGTCCCAAATTCAAGGCTAACTGAAGTACAGGTCACACTGGCCCCTGCTTATTGAATCTATTGATCAAGCTAATATCATGTAAGAGCATATTTGTCTTAACCTTTGTCCTGTTTTAATCAGGAGCTGAAGGGCAGAAAGGAATTTCACAATCCACACATAACTTCACGTAGATGACTCTCAACAGTCTGTCCCAGCATGCTATGGGCCTAAATGCTTCTATGCAACGCTGTAGTCACTACTGTGGGAAATTGCCTTGTCACCATTAGTAATGCCATTTCCAAGCTAGTGAGAATTATTGATACTTCGTGTCTAGTTCAGACTCACAGCTCTTATCCACAAACAAGGACATCTACCACTGACTTTATGCACAGACTCACATGCTCATTTGTGGTTTTTGTTATAATCATTGGTTCATAGGTCTTTATTAATCATTACCAGATTACATGGTTGGCTTCAGTGATGCATGTCACTTGCCTGATACCCTACCAGTGTCCAGGGCTGGCCTCTTTTATCTCTTATACATTGCTAATTTCTCTTCAACTACAGAATTTCCCTCATTAAGGGGCACTGCACTTCTCTAAAAACAGATGACAAATTGGCAGTGCTGCCCTTCAGGGTGATGCTCATGTGCACCAGACCAGGATCTCAGGTCTAGGCATCAGTCTCAGTTACAGGGATGAGTTTGAACACAGCCCATGAAGAGTCCCTGTCACAGACTGTGAGCTTATGGCAGAGGAAGAAACAAACCCTGGGGGAAGGCGAGTGTCCCAGGAAAGCAATGGGAAGACTTGCTCGAGAGAACGGGGAGATCTCAAGTGCACAGAAGGGCTGAATCAGGAGTGCCGCTGAGGACTGCTGTTGCCTTAAAACTGAGTCTATTGTCCCAGCCCTGAAAGGAAGGAAGCCCTCAGCTGCCTGTCTGTCCCAGGCCATTTCCCTGGGCTCATGTTGAGTCCCTGTACTTCTAGCTGCTGCAGTTTAGTCTTCCTCTGCATCCCAGGCCCTGCAAAAACCATTTCTTCAGCTGGGCCTACTCCTCTCCATCCTCTGGACATGCTGTGCTTCCTCCATCAGGGCCCTGTCCAGACAGTGTGGAGCCCTGAGCAAGGAGCTCTCCAGGGCTTGATTCCAAGTTCCCATGCCTGGTCTAGAGTGCAGCTCAGGGGGCAGCCTTGAGGAGCATGTGACCAACTTTCCTTTAGTGTTTGGGATGTGTCACCATGTGCAGGTGTAAGAAGGACATTCTGGTGGCTCATCATGTGTCCACCACCAAACTAACAGATGTAAAATTGTTTGATGCAGATCCTGGACTTTATCTTTAGTGAAAACGAAATATGTCCTGTAAATATGCTCTTTAAAAACTTGGTCTCAAGAAGAGTTTACAGGGCTGGGAGCACAGCTGGGTGGTACAGTTTGTTTTCTCATGCTCCCAAGGCCTGGGGTAAAGCCCAAAATGCAAAAGAAAGTTAAAGGTAAGAATCCCCAAATCTCTTCCCCAGCATGACAGTGAATGTGGGCATCAACACCCCTGGGTGCCCTCACTCTAGGCTGTCTCTCTTTGCCTCTTAAGAGTTT